TGAGATTATAACAGAATTGAGGTGATAAGGTTAAAGAAAAATGCAAAAACCATTCAGATCTCATTGAAGATTGTCGTTATTATGGAAGAAAACCAAAAGTATGTCATGAACACTGGAAGGGGAAGCCTTAGCTCAACCTGTGATTTAGTCGTAAAGGAGGAAGACCAATTTGACCCATCTTTTCATAATTCTGTTGCATTTGAGAGTATAAGTGTGGGTCATTATTCTGCTGTACTTAACTGACCCCTTTGAGCAGAATATTTGAGTTTTGTAACCTGTGAAAAAGACTCATCTAGCCACTGTTTGAAGTCCTGGTGTGGCTTTGTAGGATAAGTATTGGGCTGTTACCACAAGGATGGAGGTTCAAACCCACTAGCCATTCCAGCTGCTCTTAACAAGGACAACTTTATTCAGAGTTAACATTCTTTCTTAGGCTAGTTTTAGTGCATAGGCATGGCTATAGTGAAGAGAGTTGTGGGCCGTGTGTGCTAAAGCAAGAGCCTACAGAAACTTTCCCAGGAACCCTGATAGCATTGTGGGTAAGGTGTTGAGCTGCAAACCACAAGACCATTGGTTCAAATCCACCAGCCAATCTGCAGGAGAAAGATGAGGCTGTCTGGTCCCATAAAGATGCACAGTCTCTGAAACTCTCTATAGGGTCACTATGAGTCAGTGTTGACTCCACAGCAATGGGTAAATTAACTTTCCAGTCCTAGCTTCTAAGGAAGATAACCATGTTCATGAATAATAAAAGCATAGTAGAGGTGATGGTTATGTGCTTGGAGTCGGTTTTAACTCAAAGCGCCCCTGTATATAATTTCCAAGGCTGGATGTTTGCCATTGTGCGCTCATAGCGATCCTGTGTATGATTTACCCTGTATATGTAAATCTTTATGGGAGCAGAAAGCCTCATTTTCCTCCCATGGAACTGCTGGTAGTTTCGAACTGCTGACCTTAAGGTTAGCAGCCTGACTCGTAACCAGTACGCTACCAGAGCTCCTGATAAAAGCATGAAGCCTGGTTCATTTAATCTGAGATGAAAGCCAGTTAAAACCCCAATCCCTCCACTGACTTCTTGGGTCTTTCCCTTAATCTTCATGCTCCAGGTCTGCGGCTCTGCTCCCAAGTTTGCAACACTCTTCTCCACTGGGCCCTTAGATTGGAATCACATGGATTCTTCCTATGTTTCACATTTCCCCCATTTGATCTGGTACCATAGTGGGTTACAAGCTGGGCTGTTCACCGCGAGGTCAGCAGTTCGAATCCACCAGCTCCACAGAAAAAAGAAGAAAGATTTACAGCCTTAGAAATTCTATACAGGGTCACTATGAGTCCATATCAAGTCCAGGGCACATAACTACCACCACCATTTTTGCACTATTAACACGTTCTGTCATCTCTAGTACTAAAAATAAACACTAGACTTCCATTTCTACCATCCTAGTTCAGCCTGGCACAGGAGAAAGATGAGGCTTTGTGCTCCTGCAAAAATCTGCAGCCTCAGAAATCCTATACAGGGTCACTATGAGTCAGAATCGACTCAACATCACATAACAACAATAGTTAAACCTGAACTGCCTAATAGCTACATAGCTGCATCCCATCTGATTTCCTTAACTCTCCATACCCCATTCTCCACCCAACAACCAAAGAGATCAGTTCAAACATCAGCCCACACAGCTGCCCGAAACCTCCAGTGACTTCCTATTTCTTGCAGACTAGCAGGATAAACACTGGACTGATAACCGCAGGATCGGCAGTTCACATCCACCAGCAGCTCTCAGAGACCTTGCACAGGTTGCTAAGAGTCAGAACCCATTGGCCAGCTAACAACAACAAACATCCAGCTGAATTATTATGACCTCAGGATGGACCTGAGGTCATAATAAACAACATTCTTATCATTGGAGAAAAGATTAAAGTTGTCAAGGACTTAATTCTTCTTCGATCAACTATCAACATTCACGGAAGCAGCAGTTAGGAGATCAGACGATGTATTGCATTGGGCAAATCTGCTGCACAGGAACTTTTTAAAGTGTTGAAGAGCAAAGATGTCAGCTTGAGGACTAAGGTGCACCTGACCCAAGCTATGGTATTTTCAATAACCTCATATGGATGTGAAAGCTGGACAGTGAATAAGGAAGATCTTAGAAGAATTGATGCCTTTGAGTTGTGGTGTTGGAGGAGAATACTAAAAGTGCCATGGACTGCCCAAAGAACCAATAGATCTGTTTTGGAAGAAGTGCAGCCAGAGTGCTCCTTGGAGGCCAAGATGGCGAAACTCGTCTCTCATACTTTGGACATATTGTCAGGAGGGAACAGTTACTGAAGAAGGATGTCATGCTGGGTAAGATGGAGAGTCAGAGAAAAAGAGGAAGACTCCCAACGAGATTGATGGCATCAAGTGTGGCGGCAGTAGTGAGGTTGGCCCGGGATCGGACATTGTTTCGTTCTGCTGTGCATGGGGTCGCTATGAGTTGGTTCTGACTCTATGGCACCTGACAACAACAACAACAGGTCTGTCCTAGACTCCTGCCCTTTCCAGTGGGATGCTCATTTTTAGAACACAATAGAAGAATTCTCTCCCATCCCAGATCGTCACCTGCCATATCCTTAACTACTTAACACTCTGGTCTCAACTCACAAGGCTTAGCTCTGGCTGTTTAATCTGAGGTAGTTTATCCCTGTCACTCTATTCCCTGTTTTTGGAATTTAACTCAACTATTTATTGTCTGTCTCCATCAACCCTGGTGTAAGTTCATTCTATAGGAGCAGAGACCATGTATACTCAGTACCTAGGATAGTGGGAACACATGGTGGGTGCCCAGAAAGTCTTCTCTGAATGAAGTAGCAGTAGGACCTGCAGCGAAGGCACAGACAATAGGGAGAAGCTCAAGGGAAGGACAAACATTGTGTGCCATGATGGAAAACTGTGACTTTGCAAAGGTGGAAAGCCTGGAGCTGGATACAATTTGGATGTATTGAGGGGGCATAAGGAGCTATGGTAGCGTAGTGGTTACGAATCGGGCTGCGAATCACAAGGTCAGCAGTTCGAAACTGCCAGTGGTTCCATGGGAGAAAGATGAGGCTTTCTGCTCCTGTAAAAATTTACAGCCTTGGAAACCCTGTACAGGGTTGCTATGAGTCAGAACCGACTCCACAGCATATAACCACTACCACCACCAAGGTCATTAATGGTGCTGGACTGCAAAGTTGGTTTGAACTGCAAAGTTAGAGGTTTAAGCTCACAAGCTCCTTGGAAACCCTATACAGGGTCGTTATGAGACGTAACTGACTTCACAGCACTTAACAAGAACAATGTACTCTGAGTGTCTTCCATCCTCAGGGATCATCTCCTAGCACTACTTAGTTGTGATTCACAAGGTTTTCAGTGGTTAATTTTTGGAAGTAGATTTCTAGGCTTTACTGAAACCTGTCTACTGTGGGTAATCCTGCTAGTACATGAAATACTGGTGGCACAGCTTCCAGCGTAATAGTAACCTGCAAACCACTACAGTACAACCTGTTGAAAGACAGGTGTTAGGAGAACACAAATTGTGCTGGTTTATAGCTCTCTGTCGATTAACCATCAGCTCTTAGGGGTATTGGTTGTGGGTGTTCTTTAGAAATGAAACTGTTTTATATTGCTGTCCCTGGGGGATTTAGATGGCACATCTATGGTCTGCTGGCCCAGATAGTTTATGCTGATTTCTTTCCCAGTGCAGACTAAAGCGAGTGAGACTCAAGCCTATTCTCATGTGGGTGTGTATATATCAAGAGCTTTCCCACTCATCTATATTTACAATGATCAAAGAAACAGCTGCTAACCTTCTAGTTTAGTCTCTGAAAGAACTGATAAAGCCATCACTGACATTCCCTCTATCAACTTCCGTTTGTGGGACTCTAAGCTTTCTAATGCAAGCAAGAATCTGCGATTTCATACAATCAAGAGGGAAAAATGCAAAGGAAATACAGACACTCAAGGAACTTACAGTATTTCACAAATCAATTTTATTAACTTAAACACAAAATGAATGAAGGAAACCTTTCTGTACACATTTGTGGACACAACACACCATTATACAGTAAGGCCAAGATAAAATTTGTCTTTTCAGTCTGCAAAGTATAAAATCATAAAAAGAAAAGATGTAAAAACTGTCAACATGTGTTTGCTTCAAGCAAAGTAAATGGGAGAAAATAAGAGAAGAGCTAATCCAGTTGTTAATTTAAACAATTTGGAAAATTCACAAATGATGAACCCAAGCAGCAGCATGATGCTTCAGGAGAGAATGAGTAGCTCTTGAGCTACTTTGGGAAGCTGGGTCAAAGCTGGTATTTTTTTTTTTTAACACCAATATAGCATTAAAGAAAAATTGAAAAGTAATTTCATAACAGTTGAAGGCTGAGAGAAACCAAGTGCCCAAACAGATCACTTTTGGAGAAGCTTTTTTATGGTGTGACCGAGAGGACAACTTTTATTTTCAAGAATTATGCTTGTTATATAATACATAATGAACATAGAGAGAAACACTTTTTCGTTGGTGGTGAAAAACACTCTGCCATGGCCGCTGTGGGCAGTGAGCTTTCCTCAGTGAAAAGGAGAAGAAGAGGGCAGAGAGAAAAAACACAACTGTGGAGAATCATGCCATTAGTAACATTTTCTGATTTCCAGATATGTGGTAATTTCCTCCTTTATCTAAAAGAAAAAACAAAACAAAAAACAATGCAGACACGAAAATAATTCTAAGCACATGAAAACTTGGCTTTGCTCGTCTCCAATTCATGACTTTTTATTAATAAAATATATCTATCATCTACATTCTTTCTGTGGGAAGAAGCATTTGAATAATCACTTTATTCCAAGTAGTTACATATAATACATTAGTGTGGAAAATGAAAAAGTGACGTGGTAAGACCTCTTTTCCCAAATTGTTCAAGAAAATGCTGTGTTCTTTTACCAAGGCCTTTCTAACAGCATTGAAAAAGAAAAAAAACACATTACAACTGATGGGAACATTTTTGGAAAAACAAAATCCTGTTGACACTTGACATCCATGCTTTTGGTCTTGACAACATTATCTAAAAAAAAAAAAAAAAAATTCCAATATCTACATATTTATATCCAATACTTCATTCAGTGAGGCACCACACATGAGTCTGTGTATGGATTTCCTCATATTTCACTATCAAGGCATTTCTACCTTTCAATATCGTTTTCCTAAACAATATGTAAAAGAATCATCCATATTACAAATTTACACCAAAAATTCTTTCTGTACATGATTGTCTCAGTGATGTACATATTATATGCTTAAATTAGACAATAGTTTAAACTACTTTGCAATGTGCTAAAATTAGGAGTACTTGCTGTGTCGTGAGGCAAATGCCTTCAATCACTTATTTCTTCTGCTGTTGTCTCTTGGATTATTTGATGTTAAAATCTGTTCGAATGAATTGTATAGTATGCGAACTATACCTCAACAAGGTTGTTTTTATTTTTTAAAGTAAGTCTGTTCATAAATAAGTAGAGATGTACAGATTACCCTGGGTATGAGACACCAAAAAGTAAACCTTCTTTACAAGAAAATTACTCCACTGGTTTTCAGGACGCACGTTTCAGTCCTTGTTGTGCAATCAAGTTTGCTGCATGTGCTGTTTAGGTCACACTGAAGACGCCAAAAACTTAAGTGTTTGCAGGTCCTTTCTTCACAGGTTTGAACCGTGCAGTTAATGTGGCAAAGACACATTACACTGGGTTAGAACATTCTCATGGCTTGTTTTCATTGGATTCACAGTACCAGAATCAACAGCTGTTCTGAAGGAAAAGACATGGTCCTCCATTTGCCACAAGGGCAACAGGTCAAGACCCACAGCAGTTGTGCATCAATATGTTGAAATCGCCAAGTTCTGTCATCCAGCGCTGACACGAGACTCAGGCCTGCTGGGTTTGTCCCTGGTCACAGGGCAGTTGTGGGGCTTCAAAGTGCTATGTGGCTGTTACAGGTACTCCAGCTCCAAGGCATGATGTAGGGCCATGAGGTCTGAGTGGCTGGAGATCCTCCAGAAAGGCATGGCATGCTGGGAAGGGAAAGATACATGGTGAGGTCAGAAAATGCTCCCGTACAAGCACCTAAAACGTCTATGGAAAATCCACTACACCATCTACTCTCTTTCTTAGTACAGTAAAACTGCTAGCTAACATCTTCACTTCACATCTGTTTTAAACAAAAACTCAAACTTAATCCTCCCCTAAGAATACTGCACTGAATTTTAAAATGTAATCTGGAGTCTGTTTCTTTTAAAAAGGTGATGGATATTTCTTAACTAGATCTACACTGTGACATGAATGCCAATTCCAAACTTGAAGCATAGCTATGAATGAAACTCTGCTGATATCAGTTGCCTTTCAAAACATCTGTCCAGTGTATTTTTAAGGTTGAAAGTTTAAACGGCTCATTATTTTCTAAGAGTTTAAGCAGTTGTCCCTAGTTGGTAGTATTGTATATTGCTCAAAAATTGAATCTTGCTCAATTTTCCAATTATTTTCCATCAGCTTTTCTTTTTTTAAATTGATCTTGAAATGATTTTACCATATGGGAAAATTTTGAATGAAAGTCTCTAAGTTTTGTTTGTTTTTGTAGTTGTTGTCTAAACCATCAATCTAAAAACCTAAAGTTTAAATAATAGAAATGTTTGTGAAACACCTGAATAAACTAGAGACAGGAAAAACGGGAGGGGGGGGGAACGGGGGGGGGGCGAATAACTGTAGTTAACCTCATCAATGAAAGGTGAATACATAGTTGTAAAATTTCATTGCTCAAAAGCATCATAGTGTGTACTTATGCGTCAGCAAATTTTTTTTCTTAAATATAATCATCTTTTATAGGGCAAAATTCTATTTAGTCTATAGAAAATGCTTTTGAAAATAAAAATAAATATAAATGGAGGACAGACTATAATAATTTGCAGCTATACTATGGAAGTTTAAGAAAATCTACTAGTCACTTTGTGGGAGAAAGATGAGATTTTCTGCTCCTGGAGCGATTATAACCTCAGAAATCCTATACAGGATAGTTATGAGTTGGAACCAACTTGAGATCACACAAGATCAAATATATCTCTGCATTCCTTCGATGATAGAATAATCTTGAACTGAGTACTAAAGATGTCATTGCAGATTTTTAGAAGGCTAATCCTAGTGTGGCACTGTGAGTTAATGTGTTGGACTGCAAAGTCAGTTTGATCTGCAAGATTGGCAGTTCAAGCTCACCAGCTGCTCCTCTAAAACCCTAAACAGGATCACTACGGGTCAGAACAGACTCAGTGGCACTTAACAACAACAACAATCCACTTGGCAACTTTAAAGAGATGTTATTTCACATTCATTCCCTATTGAGGTCCAGGCTAGGTGTAGAAGACTCACAGATGCATACAGTCCACGGTCTACCCTCTCCCAGTTGGTAGTGGAGTAGCAAAAATGTGTAAGTCACATGGGCTTAACATTTAAATTGAGGGAGTAGTTGGAGGGAGTTATCTTTCACTGGGAAAACTCCTGAGAAGAGGAGATGAAAGTTGAGTTAAATATAAAAGAATGATCATTCTGAAGAAGGTGTGTATGGGAGAGGGATGAAAAGATGATAAAGGGAAAATCCAAAGTTAGAATTACGGTTTTGTGTGTGAGAGAGATGTAACTGGTAACAACTAGGTGCAGGGCCTGGTAAGCTATACTACAGAATTTATTAATTATAATTATGATTGAATATTGTATCCAGAACTGTGCTAAGCAATTTGTGGTTGGTTGGTTGGTTATGTGCCGTGGAGTCAGTTCCGACTCATAGCGACCCTGTACAGGGTTTCCGAGCCTGTAAATCTTTACGGGAGCAGAAAGCCTCATCTTTCTCCTGTGGAACAGCTGGTAGTTTTGAACTCCTGACCTTAAGGTTTGCAGCCTGATTCGTAACCACTAGCTCCAATTAGTGGGTTCAAACTGCCAGGCTTTTGGTTAGTATGTGAGTGCAAACCATTGCACCACCAGGTACCTTATACCCACAGAGATAGGTACCATTGTCATGATTTTAATGATAAGAAAACTGAGACCTAGAGGAGCAAAAATGTGTAGATAGCAGCTGGCAAGAATTGAAGCCAGAGAAGAAACTCTAGAATATTGAAGGACTATGTTGCATAGATCTGAGTCTGACATGTGTCTGATCTGTATAACACAAACATTTCTGATCTTTTTCTTATTAGAACAGAAACCCAAGTGTGTTATAAGACATTCATAAGGTATAGAGCTATGTAAAGAAAACACATAATTTCTAATCATATATACAAAAAAAACCACGAAGCGTTTTTTTAAAATTTCAAACTTGTTTACACACATAAAATTATGTGCATTTTGTTAATTAATGTAAAATTCTGGGTCATTGCGTACCGACTCATAGCGACTCTGTTTAGGGTTTCTGAGATGCGGCGGGTGAACTTCAACTGCCAACCTTGTGGTTCAAAGTGACCTTGCAGTCCAGCACATTAATCCACAGTACCACACCAGGACTCCAGTTATGAATATATGGTGGTTCAAACCTATGAGCTGCTCCTTGGAAACACTATACAGGGTTGCTGTGACATGGAACTGACCTTTAATACCTGGTGGTACTATGAGGTCGAACAGACTTGACACCAATGGGTATCTTCCTTAAACAAAATATAATTACTCGTGAGACGTGAAATGTTTGTTTTTTCCTCAGAGTAGGTTCAGTCAAATTGTTTTTGCATGATGATTATCTGAAGTTGGATATATCTAACCTAGGCAAGTCCTATGCAAATACAACTATTAGCATTACAAATTTTGAAAGCCACTAGTACATTCGAAACACATTGACGAATGCATTGAATGGCAGAGAAATTGAAAAAGGAATTGATAAAATCTATTTATTTGGTATAAGGCTAGGCTATAGACTGGGCATTTGATTCCACAGGAAATTAGGGTTCTAGGCTATGGTTGGGAGTCCTAGAGTGGTGCTATGGGTTAATGAGCTAGACTGCAAAGCTGGTTTAAACTACAGGGTTGGTGGTTCAAACTCACCAGCCACTCCGAGGAAGCCCTATACAGGGTTGCTATGGGTCGGAACTGACTTGACAGCACTTAAAAACAACAGTAGGCTATGGTTGTGACTCATCTTTACAGGTGTAGGAGAGATGTCAGCTCAGAGCACATTTGATTGTAACTGTTTTACTTCACACATTATACTTGAAACACCTTATGGAAAGGGGAGATTATACACAGAGCCTTGAAATGACTTATTTACTGGTGCTGAAATACCAACGTCTTTAGTCTTCTCATATAGCATATTAATAAGAACCACATGGTCTAGCAACACCCAGAAATGAACTTAGGTGATGAAATATGTCTCTGGTATATTACAAAGCTCCTGGGTAGTGAAAATGGTTAATGTGCTCAGCTGCTAACTGAAAGGGTGGAGATTCAAGTCTAACCAGAAGTACTTTGGAAGAAAAGCCCAGTGATCTACTTCCTCTGAAAAACCAGCCATCAATAGCTCTATGGAGCACAATTCTACTCTGACACACATGGAGTTGCCATGAGTTGGAATTGATTCAATATCAACTGGCATGGTGTATTCTAGACAAGCAATGTTGATGTGGTCATTTATTGGAGAAAAACTGTCAGTTGTTCTACAGATCTTCTGGCAAATCTTAGATTTTCATGAAACAGAAAAGGTAGTCTCTGAGGAGCATCCCCTACATGAAGACAGCAAGTTCATTCTCAGCATTGCTTCACAGAATGAATTGTTAAAAAGAATGGCTTCTCCACAGACACCCGTCGACCTGGAGATGAGACAGAGAAGAGGAGGAGTTTGTTGGTCTGCGACATGGTGAGGCCTGTGGACTCCTGAGCCCATGGACAAGAACATAGCCACAGAGGTCTAGAGTTGCGAGAGAAGCGCCCAGCTGATATGAAGTGAGGAGTGATGCACAAGAATGCACAAACTTATAGATAATATGCATTTGACCTGGCTTCAATCACTTGATGATCAGAACTTGGCCTGAGGAAAATAAAAGGGAAATAAAAAGCCCCCCCCCCATTTTTTAAATAAAGGAAACAAGTGTAAATTGCTACAATTTGATGAACTCAACCTATACTTATGGATGTAGTAGCTCAAAATACCAACTGAGACGGAAGGAGTCCTCACATCCAAAATCAATCCTATCCACTCTGTATAAAGGGTTGATAGGGATGGACAACTTAGACTGGCTACCTAAAATGGGAGGGGCCATAAAGGCAAGAAGTGACTGGCTTACAAGTTTTCAAGGAAGAGTTTAGTTTCAGAGAGTGGGGGAGAAGGTAGAATCCCCACTGAATAGTTTTCATCTTGTTTAGCTGGGTCTGATGAAAGAAAATGGGAATAAGATTCTTATGATTCAATAATGAGTAACTGTTATCATGACTAATTGCGACTATTACAACTGTATAGGTAGAAGTTTTGTAACAAAAAGAGGGGAGTAGTTAATCTTACAGTCCAGGAACAGAGAACCCTAGGACCTTCAAAAGAGAAGAGCATAAGCAGAATGTGGGACCCTATCCAGAGGAGTGACACCAGAGATGGAGACAGAGATGAGAACATGCAGAGAGAGAGCAGCTGAGGACTCTAGACTCATGGAAAGAGAAAGGCTGTGTGCTGGCTGCCAGGTGCTGGTGACTGAAGAATGTGTCCTTTGGTTGTTTAAATGATTATCTTTTCCTGGGTGATTTTGCATACATCCCCCAAAAAACAAACAAACAAAACAGAGGAAATAGAAGCAAATACGGTTGAATGATGATGCACAGAGGACACTGTAATCATTGTAACGAAATGATGAGTGTGAAACTGATGTTTCCCTATGTAAACTAATCACTCAATTCACAAAAACTTAAAAAAGAAACAATGGCTTCTCTAAGAATAATGTATTTTACTTCCTCTTCACTTAAGTCAAGGTTGTAAGAAGGCTGTATCTAGGTTTAGGAACCCTGATGGCACTGTGTTAGACTGTTAATCCCAAGGCTGGTGATTTAAGCACATCAA